GGCAACTCAAATTAAAAAAGGATGAGTTTTAGGAATTTGTGGGAACCTTAATCGAGATACACCTATCAGCAAAATCTGGAATACAGTTAAAAAATTTTTAACATATTTTGCAATAGGAAATACAATTTCTCCCCAATAATAGAAATGTATAAATATTCTAGACAGCTTAACCTCTTGTAATGTAATGCCCAGATAATCCAGAGAGCTATAGACCAAGTACCCTAACTTTATGTGCGGGTAAGGTACTGGAAAATATAATTATGAATAGAATATAATGGTTTGTAGAACACAACAGCATTTTATCGCAGTATCAAATAGGGTTCCGCAATGAACTTAGTTGCAATGATGCACATATAGTACTTAATGCATTTACTGATAAAAAGGTGGTATTAACTGTTTTTCTTGATCTAAAAAGCGCATATGATAATGTAGATATATATCTGTTATATAAAAAAATGGACCGAATTAAATATTCCTAGTGCATAAAATAATTTAATATTTGAATTTTTGAATAATATAATGATCTATGTGAAAGATAAGCAGAATGAAATATTTGGACCCAACACTACAGATACAGGTTTGGCTTAAGGGTCACCTCTGGGCCCACTTTTATTTTAATGTGTACACTAAATCATTACATGAAATTATACCAGCCGAATTCCAAGTTAATACAATTACGCTGATGACCATGCTCTTGTAATGTTCTCGGACGCGACTAGTTCACGTTCGAGAGCATCGCCCCGCCCCATTAATTTTCCTGTTGGCACCAGCTCCCTGACCTGGATCGCCCAACAACATGGATTATTCCACTCAGACGACCCAGCTCGACAGCACAGCAAGAAGGCAGCATACTATTGACTTCAACATGGGTTGAAGTCAATGAGAAGAGAATGGGGAGAACCACGGAGTGTTTAGAAAGCTATACTCTAACACTCCGACATCGAGGCCTTCTGCAAACCCGATGCCTTCGGCGTGCAGGCCGCCTTTGACGAGCCAGACTTCTTCAAAGTCAGAAGCCCCTGATGCCAATGGAAGTCCAGAAGTAGATCCAGTCATCGCCCCCTACCGAAAGTGGTTGGACGACCACGTAGGCTTCACGGCACCCTGCTTATCTGCGATAAAACCACCGGATATGGCAGTTCGGGAATCCCGGACGACCGAGAAGAAGATGAACCACCGTCGAAGGACGTTGGCACCAGCGATCGAGGATGGGACTTGACGGAGAGCACGGAGATGCCGTCAACACCACCGACCTCCCTCTTAGTGCAGTGCAGTGTGTTTGCTTACAGACCTCAATTTTTTATTTTTATTTACCATTTTCTTGTATCTTCTCATATACTTTCCATCTACATTTGTTTGTGCTCTTCTTGTGGTTATATTCTAACTTGTAGGCTTATTGTAATCTTAATATTTTATGGAATGCTTAGATCAATAAATCTTTTTCCCGCCACAGAGGCCTACCTGAGGAGGGGGGTTGTTCTCGAGGACGGCGACTCTGTTCAATCGCGTCGAGACGCATCGCCCCGACCCCTCTAATATATTTCCGCTTGGCCCTACCCTGACCTTGGAATTCCCTATATCGACTATATCCTTCGCGAAAGTCTCTAATAAATAGGCAGCGAGTTTTCAGGTCAATAGTCTAGTCCTTCACGGGCTCTCCGAGAGATTAGTGCTCTCGGGGCTCTGCTTTCTTGTTTTTAGACTTTTCCCATACTCTGTTGGCTGTGATGTTATTTCTACTGCAACCTGGTAGTTGTTTATTTCGAACTTAAACCTTTGTCATGTAAGAAAATATCTTGCCTTTTTCAAGGCAAGATACCTGTAAGAAAACATTTTCGAATCCATACCCGCAAATGGATTCAAGCGTAGAGGGCTTTTCGTCGAAAGTATCATCCGAAGCCCTCTACAGCTAGCACCCGGAGGTGTAACTAGGAAGGTGTTTTGACCACTTATTTTGTTCCCCGACGGGGACAGTAATAACTGGCAAGATCTACATAAATTATCTTATTAGGATTGCTACTTCTAATTACCTTGGAGACAATTATTATTTGGCTAGCTGAAATGTATTAAGCTTTCACATTTATCAATACGATAACTCTTCTGCTCAGCAATGTTTTTTAGTGTAATATTTGATGGTGCACAACTGCTCTAACGGGACATACCTTTAACTATAGATGGACCGATTCTTTCCTATACAAAAATCTCTATTAAAGATTTTGGGCTTAGTTTTCATATAGTTCTTTAAACTGGACCAGAAAACATTAATAAAAAATATTGTAACGAAACGCTACAAATCTAGGAATGAATATATTGAGTGGCAATTATGTGGCATACTTGGTGGGCGTGCAGTCCCTCTATTCTCTTCTGTTAATCTTTACTAAAAGGTATTATTAAGATCCACACCTTGATTACGTCTTGTTTAGTTACTTAAATACAATGCAAGTAAAGCCAACCGCCGTAACCATTAGACACAATAAAATCCTATTTAAAGCTGCGAGGATTATCACGGGTGGTTATGAGATCCTACTAATTGCCTTATTAGCTGAGCGCGTGGAAAAACATCATTAGAAATCAGGACCGTATAAAATCCCTTTTTGCTCATTTTTATCTTAAAACTCTTAGTTGATATAGAAAACCCCGATCTATATCGAAACTAATTGTCTTGTGCTAGAGTTCAATCTAATCTCAATAATCAGATAGGTCATCGTGGTATAATTATAAAGGCACACCATTTCTTTATTTACCATTACATGTTAAATTTCAATCAAGTTCTTAAACAGATTCTATTTAAAGATAATAAATTAAGTCCCTGTTACCACGTCATTAGAACCCAATTCAAGGGGCAGTAGGGTTTGGTCGTGTCTACCATATCCATCAATAACATTATAACTTATACATCTTGGGTCTTTCTATGTGGCTCATACACAATCTATGCACTGCACTGGAAATTATTGACCATTAATAAGGCAATAGGAACGTTTGCTTAGAAAAAAAATATTAAAAAAGCATTAATCTCGCCCTCTATGATGCAAAAAGTGCAATCCCAAAAATTACAAAGTACCTGTTGGGAACAAATAACCACATTGTAAATTTAACTAAAAGATTAATACTTGAGGCAAATGAAGCAGGACTGATATTATTTATAGCATGGATTCCAGGACATTCAGGAGTAAAAGAGAATATTGTGGCAGATCAATTGGCGAATATAGGTAGAACCCTAAACATCCCAGTCTAACATAAAAATTGATAAAATGGACTATTCTTTTCATTTATTACTCAAACACTATAAATGAATTTAAACTTGATTGGCTTAAACAGTTTAAAAAAAGGGAAAGTGGTACCAACAATGTCAAAGCGAATCTTTATAAAACCATGGTTTCTTAAGTTTTGACTTTGTAGACCGTAGACACCTGACAACAAATTATTAGGTTACGACAGGACATTGGCACCAGATCATCTATTTTAAAATTAACTGTATTGATTCCCCTTTTTGTGAGTGTGGGCATAATAGGAAGTATAATACACATCTTACTAGAGTGTCCTATCAATAAGACACCACTATTGATGTTATATCAAAAACTTATTAAAGATGGATTGCCCAACGCCCAGTTTCAGTACAAAATATTTCCACAGTATCCAATGCTAAAACCTTGAAAACTATTGGTAAGTTTATCAATATTTTCCAAATTAAAATGTAAGTAAAATATAAATAAATACCCAACCTAAACCTATCCTTTAACCACTGATGTCCTGTCCAAGATGCCAAATTCCCAGAGATATGTAAGAGATTGAGTGTGGCTGATATTTTATTTTCATTCCAGAATTATCAATTTTCATTTATTTGTACATGTTTATAATACATTGTTTCTCATTTGATGATAAACGACCCAAATCTATCAGATCGTTTTTAAGGTGGAGAAGAATAATTACCACTAGGTATTGGCATTGAATCCATATTATTATCTTAATAACACTAATATGTCGCTAAATAGTTCTGAAAAGAACTGTTTTTTTTTATATAAATGCAAACGAAAAATCTAAAAATGTAAGGAATAACGCAGGAAAATACAAAAAATCGTCGATATAATAATTTTGAATTTTAAAATTTCACAAATGTCATTAGTGTCAATACGCATATTTATAGTGGAGTAACTTGCTGCGGTGGACATTCAAACACGCTTACGGTGCAGTATTTGATTACTCTCCCGGTTAAAAACAGACTATAGAAAGGTACTATGAAGGTGGGTTCTCCTTACTTTAGGGTTCAATAATAGCATCGAAAATTGGCGAGCTTGTATCATTTTGATACACACGCAAACGACGAAGGGTCAATAAATATTACTGAATAAAATTTTTATCATAGCTATTTAAACCCATTTTAAATCTAGTGGCGTAGGAATTAAAAACAACGTAGTGTTCAATGACTCCATTTTTAGCCACTTCTCATGCTGTGATAGTTTTGGTTATCTCCTCCATGGTTGTCACCATAGGGAGGTTAGGGTCTTCACAGGAAACAACTTCATATTAGCTCCCTAGGTGCTCTACAGAGGGCTTCGGTTAGTCAATCCGAAGTTGTCTCTGCGTTTTCATCTTAATTTGGTATAATGGTTAAATAAAACCCGGTATTGAAGTCGAAAAAGGTCCTAGCAAAAGAGTCTCAGGACAAGCAGGGAGCAGAGACCCGTCAAGGAGGTCCACAGGTGTAGAAGATCCTACATGGTGACCGGAATAAAGCTAGGCTCGACTACCTATGGCTTGGAAAATGCACACTTTTTATACACTTTATTTCGTATCGATACGTGCATTTCGAAGTCCATCGGCCAATCGTAAATTTCGTATGAGGTAGAAAGGCGGGGCGATGCGCATCGACGTGCTGATTGGTCCATAGACTAAGGCACACCATGACAGTTATACAGGGAGTCAGACTTTTAGTTTTAGTTAATATTCGACGACAGAAAATTGCTCATTTGTTAGTTGACCACGCTGCAATAGTTAGAAATGCCTATACGGTATTTTTATTAAAAAACAAACTTAATTTTACATTTAAATAAAATGAATTTACATTATATAAAACAATTTTTAACATTGTACGATTTGTAAAAACTTATAAATCACTTAGAAATAAAACTACATTCTTCAAATACTGTACAATATACGAATTCCATCCGTTTTTTTTTCTCTTATGTTTTGTGAATTTTATTTAAAAAATATTCTATGTCAACCCTTTGCAATGTTTCATGTGGATTTTCTGTCAAGTCTTCATGTAATAACTTCCTTTTCTTTAAAGTACTAAAAATCAAAATAGAAGATTAATTATTAAATAAAAATGTTTTGGATCATACATGTTGCATTCTCATTGTACCATCCATTTGCTCAATTGTTTCAAAACTCTCTGTAACATCCCAGTTTTGGTGATTCTTTTAGTAATATTACTGAATAATTAAATATACAACTATTTAAATGAGAATAAGCCACAATTAAAGGTTAAAGTGTGTTTATTGCCGTTTCAATTTCCACTTCGGAAATCGTTCTCAAAATTCAAATAGACATAATAAGCTCAGTGGAGAAAATATCTCAATGTTTACCAATCCACGAAAAGGAAGAATACAGAGTATTATGTAAACTTTGAATTGGAAAAAAGTCTATTAAAAATTGAACAAAACATAAGCAAAGTGGAACTAAAGGCTTTAAGTAACTTTAAAAACTGACGACTCCATAATTATCCTACAGCAGCAGACAATGGGGATAATTCAATGTGAAATTAACAATCTAATAATAAACGGACCTTATACAAAATTAACAAAGGATCCAACAAAGCCTTTGGGGAACAGAATATATAGAACTTTCAAAATTCAACTCTTGATGTTTGATTTATAATCCCCATATTTTTATCTGTTTCCATGTATGAATGCCCTCTCATTGGAAAAATCATATGTATGGTCTTATGTGAACAAGATGATACAGAAATCTTGCAACTGTATAGTTTTATTTTGACCTCCACGAGAATCTGCGATATATTAAACAACTCTTCAACTGAAGGATCAAGGAAATTATGGACGAAATGATGAAGGAGAGAAGACACATCGTCTGCGCCTTTTTTCCCTATTGTCTGTGGGTATGTATAAAAAACATTTTTATTTGAGGCTAGTACGTGTATGTTGAACGTTAAAGGTCGTGGCATATTATCGTGCACGTTGCGTTTCCAGCCCATAGCGTTTAGTTTCTAAAAAATATAATTTATATGGTTTTAAATATGAACAATTCACACTGTCCGGAACCTATCGTATCAGGCACCTAAAGTTTCCGTTCAATATATTCGAATACAATATTTTACGAATGCTGACGGCTACGGAACGAGCCGAAACCTGTTGGTACGTATAATGTGAATTAGGGGTCCGTCGTTTTCTCCTCGTTGTTTATTTAGGATTTGTTTGATTTTGAAATAGTGTTACGATAAATTGTGACTCAAAACTGTAAACATATTTATTACTAATATTCTTATTCATTCAAGTATTTTCTAGGTCATATACCACCGATTCTAACTCTCCAAAAGGGGATCGAATAAAAAAACAACCAGCCTGACTGAGCTCTCCTTCATTCGAGATCATTCGCCGCTCAACTGTTCGAGACCGGTCTGTTGTGGGATTTTCCTTCCATATTAGTCGAGAAGGTCGGCTTCCGAATTTCGAAGGGGCTCTCGAATAACGGCAGTTTATATTTAAATAGAAATTTTATGTAAACAGTTAGTTAGTCGAAAATAAATTGTTGTATCGAATAAGTGGTATAATAAATTGATATAAATGATTGTGTTTTAAGTGAATTAGAATAAGGGAAATGAAGTAATAAATTAGACTTTAAAACAAATATAACAATAGATTATTTTAAAAAATAATAATTTTCGAGGCTAATTTGGGTCATTTATCACATGTGTTTTCATTGCTTTGTGACAATTAATCAGGGAAGTGATAAACAATTAGGATTTTTGCACGGAAGTGATAACTCTTCTTTTTTAAAAATACTCTTTGGTTTGATATGTATTGCTTCGTTAAATGTAGTATTTTATTTTTTAACTAAAGGTGTAATTAAATTTTAAATATATTCAAACCAAATCCTATTCATTCTAAAATATCCATAATATTTTCCATCGTCATCAATTAATTCCTTTGTATAAAGTCCAGTATTCACCTTCCTTTTTCTTTATCTTAGCATTGGATGTACTTCAAACCTTCTTTGTACTACAATTTTTCTTAAGAAGAGCATTGCACATAATGTTTGTCGCGAAAAGCGAGAACATATCTTCACCGCACTCAACTGAAACGTTCTATGTATGAAAATGTGAACGCGCTGTCCGATTGCTAGACTCGAAACGCTACGTGCCGGAAACTATAGGCGCAGGATAATATGCCGCGACCTTAATACAGATAATTGTCTTTTGTAATAGACATCATTCGTTGAATTGTTAGGAACTGGCAAGTTTTTTTGGTAGTCAATGCAAATGCTTTCGATTTTTTCATTGGTTTTGCATAACCTTTTCATTTGCCGTTTTTTCTTGTAAAAAGCTTCTGTTTTCATTTAATGAAGTTTGCTTGCAGTGTAAAGGTTTTTCATTTGTTTTTCCAGAACAAGAATTTATTGATTCGCTTGCAGTGAGGGGGGGCAAGTTAGCTTTTTCTTTCTCGAGTGATTTTAGTTTTGAAAACGTATTCATCACACGTACTGGAACTATCTGTTCGGAGGTACCCGAATGGAATATTAAACTTATTCGCAAATAAAGTTCTGTAAGATTCGTAAGAAATGGGAGAGTCTTTATACATTTCCACGTACATCTGCCACATTTTTTTAACGTTTAATTCCTCAGATAGGTACACTTTCAGAAGAATCCAGAATTTCACAGAGAATCCTTTTAAGTTATGATGGGATTCTCTTTCTGTAAAGGAAGATGTGTGTTCCATCCATCGAGCAAAAAGGCAAAAGAGGGAATGTAACGGTAGTGGAGACAATAATATTGTTAGACAGGAAGTGCCATCTTGAGAGGCCACTTTTAGACTATTATCGTTAATATTTAATTAAAACTTTCTCGTCTGAAAAATATTTTATAGCTATTGTTAATAAGTGTCGAAAAATTTAAATTTAGCGCCTTTGCATTTCTGGATATGTCCGCCATCAGAGGCCACTTTTTTGGTTCCTTTTCATAAGGATTAGATTCCCTCTTTTGTCTTTTTGCTCGATGGTTCCATCACAGCAGCAGTAACAGCCTCCGACAGCTTATGAGGGCGATTAGCGTGTTTACCTCTCTTGTTTGTAGGTACCTCTCCAGTTAATTTCAAAAATCGTTGCAATAACTCTAACTTCTCACTTCCGATTCCATGAATAGACAGAAAAGCTTTAGTGCAGATAGATAGGTCAGTATTAACTTCGTCGGCATTTTTAAATCGAAACTCTGTAAACATATGTTGAATCATGTAATTTTTCTGGGTCGGTCAAATCTTTTCTTGACCTCCGTTGTTTAATTTGTAAAACTGTAATAAGACCATATAGGTATAAATTCTGTGCATCCTCTGAGTTAAGTAAATTAAAACTACGTATTATTGACTGTCTAGCGTCAGCTGATACAATTTCAAAGCAACGATATCTTTTGCACTTACAGTCTGGCCCTGTTACGTGACTCTGTACTCGTAGCCTTTTACGAACCTCTTTCATCCGCCCAGTTTTTTTTGTGTTTTCTTATTTAGGGTTCTCTAAACCATCACTACTACTGTCTATAATATCACTTGCAAAAACTTTACTCATTTTTTAATCAATAATTTAACGATATTATAGCCTTAAATAAAATTGCACACTGCTTCACGATGAATTCTTTAGTGCAACGAACAGCTCAATAAAAGACAAGTTGTAGTCACAGTGGCGCCACGCGAAATTGGAAATGCGCTTTCATTCCTAGAACGCATGGACTATGCACTTTTATCCCCATACTACAAATGTTTTACTTGTGATTTTCTACTGACCTAACGCTTATATTCCCTGACGGAAGGTATTGATTTGTGCCTTTATAGTACTTCTAACATGTAGCATTAAAATCTCGATTTTCGTAAAAGTTGGCATGGGGCCTTCATTCCCTACACCCTTCAAACATTATCTAAATATTTTCATGCACTAAAAGTCTAGTCTTGTTCTACGGTCCTATAAAACTCTCATATTCAATGGAAGACAAAGAGATAGCAATGGCCGCTTTTTTACATATAGAAGGGGCATTTAATTTACCACCAGTTACCACCAGCTCTTTGACAGGAGCTATGAGTACACGAGGCGCACCTGCCATAATATGCAGATGGATCCCTGGAGAATAGGACAGTAATGTCCACTCTAGGTAAAGCACCCATCAAAGCAAAGGTAGGAGGAGGCTGCCCACAAGGAGGAGTTATGTTCCCCTCTACTTTGGGCAAACCTTGGTAGGTGATCTCCTCAGAAATCGTCCGCAAAGTTTTTATTGTCTAGGATATGCCGATGATATAGCAATCGTTGTCAGGGGCAAGGTTTGCTCAGGTGGTGTCTGAGAGAAAGGAAGCAGCACTAAATTATAGTGACCACTGGTGTGAAACAAGAGAGACTGACAGTCAATTACCCAGAAACCCAATTCGTCAAGTCACAAAAAAAAGCACTACAACAAATCCCGGTGCTGGGAAGAACAGAGATTTCATTTGCAAAGAAACAAAATACCTCGGGTATATTTTGATCATAGCTACATGCAATACACACTTTTGAAAACCGCAGAGAAAGGCTCGACTCGTCCCTTTGGGCAGACTGTAAGAAGAATGTGTCGGTAAGGAATTTGGGGACTTAAACCCCACAAATGACTCTATTGGTTACACACACGGGTTAATTAGACCCCATGATAACCTATTGCTCCGGTGACCCCCCTTGGTGGAGCAATAAGACGCTGCAAGTGGGAGCAATAAGGCTGCTAGGTAATTCACAAAGGCTATGCAATGTCTGAGTATTTCCGGGGCCATAAAAACTCAATTTAATTACTGCCATCGTTGGTAGTCCTGAGCTGAAATCTTATCAGCCAAGTGATTATCTTTATACAGGGCGAAGCCAGAGTCAGTGGATGCACTGATTAATAATTAGTCAGCGACATTTAAGGCAGATGCATGGCGCTGAGCAACAGAAAGCTAGATCTAGAGGATTGCTAAACAGCCGATATTAGTGTTGGTGGAAAACCTATCGATGCAACAGCTACGAGAATTATAGCTTTAAACAATAAGGTTCACACATTGAAGATACCTGGC